TTTGCTCTTGCCACCCTACTGGCCCTTGTCTACCGGAGTTCACGGTGTCAGGGCAAACAAGGAAACAGCTGTCAGTATGAACTGGGTCAACACCTACACAGAGGAGCTACCAAGGACATGAGCTCACCACGAACATTGTACCTCAAGCCCAACACAAGGGCAGTTAGCAGCATTCTCATTAAATGCCATGTCAAAGGTGGCTCCTGACTCAAGAGCCTGGAAGTGAAAAGCAAAAGCAATTTTAGAGGGATATACATGAATGGCTTGAGAGAAAAAACAACTTCTTACTTCAACAGACTAGCAATACACCTATTTCCAAAGCACCCAAGTATTTGAACAGAAATCAGGGGATAAAGAAGTTACTTAAAAATCATATCAATATTTACTATCTTTGCAAAACCAATAGCTCAAAACTGTTAATAAATTTTTGGGGTTATAAAAGGATAGTTTCTTAGACATACTGGACTGAAACTCTTTTCTGTTTCTTTTTATTTGTATCACTTAAGGGCTTCATTCAGTGTGTTTTAAGAATGCAACAGACTAAATATACTCTTTGGAGCTCAGTCTCAGTTACTACAGCATAGGCAAAATCTTTTCACCATGGTTTGCTGGAGATAACAAATCTATCCCTCAGCCAAGCATAAAGATGCAAGCAGTGTAAAAAGAAGTAGTCCAAGGGGACATTTTTCACATTGCTTCACTAAAAAAAAAGGTTCATTTTCAAGTTAATTCTTTCCAGTTCCCTAGCTAAAAAAAAAGACAGCTTAATTCCTGTTGCTAGGTGAGTATATTAGCAAAGTCTAAAATACAGCCCAGTAAAAAAATTATATGATTTGCTCACTTATGTAGCTGGATTATGTGTTTATAAATTTCAATCTTTCAAAAACTTTTGGAAGACTGCTCAAATGTATCATTGTTAGATCTGCAGCCACAATTTCTCCACAGTAGCAATATAAATTACATCAGCTGGGGACATAAGAGAGAGAGATTCCTTCTCTGAGGAAAAAAAAATTATGGACTTTACAGAAATATAGTCACACAAGTTCCTTTTTCCTGCTTGAAAATTGCCAGGTATCTCTAAGTATACTGGTGATTCTGGGGAAAAAATATTTTGGGCACCACAATCCCCTTTTTACTTTCTGACACCTGGTACCTCATCTCTCTATTACTGTCTTGAAGTGTCTAAAATGAACAAGAAATCAGTGAAACAAAGCAATGAATCAGAAAAAGTTTAATTAATTCTAAAATTTAGATATGGCATTGAGATAGATAACTATAAAGCTCAAGAAGAACAAGCATTTATCTTTATTTCTACACAAGATATAATTTTAAAATAAAGTTTAAACATTTCCTTGCAGTATTACTAATTCAAATGTTGTTGGAATGTGAAAATAACTAATTTTTCATTCTTAAGCTGTTTATATGATTTTTAAAAGTTTTTTCCACTTTAATAACCTACAATTTTAATAAATACTTGACACAGGATTTCTTTTAATGTGCCTATATATTAAAATTCTCTTATCTTTCAAGTATTTTTAAAAGACAGCTAAATTGATCCATTTTGCAAGACAATGTTTATACTACCTCTTTTTAGCAGTATTGTAAACTGCAATCTGTTTTTTAACATAATCCACAGCTGCTTCAAAATGTCCTTTCTGAAGCTCTAGTGCTTTTTTCAAAGTACTTTAATGAAGAATGCCTTTAATCAGTATTCATTTCAAGTAGATTTTTATTCATTTCATAAAAATCTGGTCCGAGGAGAGTTCTCATCATTGCAAATAACTGACTAAAACTAAAATCCTAAAGATTAGAGTTAGCAATAAAATCATTCATATGCCATTTCCCCAAATTTCCTTTAATACTGCTTTTCAGCATATCTTCTTCTTCATCTTGTTATAAAACTTAAGACTCTGCTACACACTGAAGAAGGTTTGAACTGAAAGGTTAAATGGTTAATTTTCACCAGAGCTGAATGTTTCATGTAATACCAGCCTTGCAGAACACTGACAATGATAAATATTGTGCAGTTAACTCTCTTTTATTGGGTCCTTTCTGTCCCAAGGACCAGAAGCACAATACTGAGCCATGGAAGAAACTGCCTAAGAAATCTGTATTTTCTTCTTTGATTAGCTTTAGTTAGCCATTTGACTTTCTGTACTTAAGCATGTATGTGCAATCTAAAAAGATGACAAGCAAATGAAAGTTAACAGTTTCCCAGCCTCCCTGTTCTTTCTTTGTCTATGCAGATATTTTAGCAAAAATCCAATGTTCTCTGTTTTTATTTGGACTGAAATGTATTATCTCTACCTCTGGATGGAGAAACAGAGATAGAGTTATATGGTCTGAAGTCATACAGTGAACTAATGCCAATTAGTAAAATACACCTTTCCAACTACTCTTTTACATTCACAGTACTGCACTTCTAGCAAGTGGTGACATAAAACACCTTATTTCTTTGCAAGGATTTAAAACTAGGATGTATGAAGTGTGAACACCAGAAAGCACTAAGCCACTGTGTAATGAATTTGAGTAAGGTATTTCATCCCTCAGAGGCCACCTGAGGCAAACACAAAGAGACTGCTTGTGGGACACGGTCTTTCACCAAACACACGCAATTTTGCTGACGGCATTATTGGCATTAGAGTACCACCTTATTAAGTTTAATAATTCTGGATTTTCGTAACACCTGCCACTCAGATTCACTCTTTGTACAATTTTTTTTTAAGCTAAGTTCTACATTATCAAGTTATCACACAGTGGATGGTCTTGAAGCTTTGGTGTTCTCCATCTGTATTGAAGTTATCACTCCATTCAGAGCCCAAACACCAACTTCTATTGTTTTCTGACTATATAATCATTTTGAGTGATTTTCTCCCCCTAACTCAAGTCCTAAGAATCTATTTTATTTGAAATACAAAGTTGGTGTCTTCAGCACAAGGGAGACATGGAGCTCTTAAAGCAGGTCCAGTGGAGAGCTTTAAAATTGATTACAGAACTGGAGCATGCTTCTCACAAGGAAAGGCTGAGGGAGCTGGGCCTGTTCAGCCCCCAGAAGAGATGACTGAGAGGGACCTCATCACTGTCTGCCAGTAGCTAAAGCAGAGGTGCCAATGGAGCCGGGCTCTTCCTGGGGGTGCCCAGCAATAGGGCAAGAGGCAACAGCCAGAAACTGATGCACAGGAAGCTCCACTGGAATGCGAGGAAGAACTTCTTTACTGTGTGGATCACCATGCACTGGAACAGGTTGCCCAGAGAGGTTGTGGAGTGCCCCTCACTGGAGATACTCAATGTTATAAATGAGAGACAAAAGTCTCGATATTCAGCAAAATTTAGATTGCTTTATTTGATATAGAAAGAGCAAGCAGCATCCTGGAGAATGTGAGGGGTCACCGCCCACTCCATGCTCCACTGAACATTGATTTGCAGCCTCTTCTTATACTGTGGTTTCTCATTGTAATCAACAACTTTTTGGATTTTTGTTGTCATAAGCAGTGGTGGTTGAATAAACATCCTTACATAAAGCCTTTGGGTGATAATCAGTCACAGATAGCCATCTGGTCCTTGTAGATAACCACCAGAGAAGTTCTGGGAGTTTGGTTCTTGAGATAGGCAGTATTGATTAGACAAAGGCAGGAAGGGCTTTTTGGGAAGTCTGATTTTGCAAGCTGGTAGTTGATACAACTTATTTGGAAAACATAACATAACCTATTATAATGTAACATAATACAACATAATATAACAAGGTGATTTTAAACAGAATTATTTTATCATATAATTTCCATTATCTAGTGTCCATGCTTCACTTCAGAGCTTAGTATTCTGGTTTGTACAAACCCCAATGCTTTTGTGATTAACACGAATCTTTTATCAATTATCACACCAAGAACTCTCTGGACACAACAATCCTGTGCCATGTGCTCTGGGATGGCCCTGCTCTGGCCCAGCAGGGAGGCTAGACCAGGTGACCCCTCTGTGGTCCCTTCCAACCTCACCCATTTCGTGATTCTCCGAAATAACCGCATGGCCTCCCAGTGTTGGCGAGCTTCTGAAGCGCTGTGCTCGACGGAGGGAATTCTGCAGTCACGAGGAGGATGGAACACCTAACGAAATGGGCGAGCCTGCGTGTTTACCCACGCGACTCCGGGCTCGGGGCAAGCTGGGCATTTGCTCACAGCCTCTGGCAGCTCCACACCCGATACCCTGGGCGCCCGATGAGCCCGCGGCCGTGGCTGTGCCCGTGGCCGGGCCCGGCAGCTCCGCACGACGGCCGCGCAGCGCAAACCAAGACATGGCGGCATGGCCGCCTGGCTGCGGGCTGCCGACACCGGGACACAGCCGCCGGGAGGAGCCGCGCTCACCACCCCCAGCCCTGGGGTTTAACCGCACAGGCGGCACCGCTAACCCGGTGAGAGGGAGGGCGAGCGCAGATGGGCGGGTGTTCCCGCCGCTCCCCGCCTCGCCTCGCTTCGCCCCGCCGCTCCGCGGAGCCGCCCTCACGGCACCGCCCCAGCCCTGCCCGCCGGCGCGGCCGCAGTTCCGCTCCTTGGGCGCGCAGGCGGCGCTTAGACGAGGCGTTGGAATCGGTAGACGAGGGCAGAGAGCGACGGAGAGAGAGGGTGGGGAAGCGGCGCGGGAGGCTGCAGGCAGCGGCTTTCTTGAGTCTGGAGAGGTGTAGGGCCGCTTCCGTCACCGCCCTGGTCTGTGAGGCTGCTCCGGGTGTGTGTTTGGGGGTGGGGGGGGAGGGGGGGATTGTCGTGGTGAGGGTGAGGGTGTCAGGAAGGGCTTATCGGTGGTCGTGGTTTGTCTCTGGGTGGCCTGGGCCTCCTTTCTGTCGGTCTGGGCTCTCCTGGGTGTCCTCTGAGGCGGCGGCCTGGGTGGGGTTGTCCTCCGCTCCCGGTCGGGCCTGTAGCCATCGTGGGTGCCGGGCTAGCGAGGTTGCAGGGAAAGGTGCACTGGCGAGTGGGTGCTGTGGGCTCTGCTGCTGTCTCTGCACCACCGACATGGCGCAGTTGAGGTCAGGAAAAGTGCTGAGAGCCAGCGAGGTGAAGCTGGTTGACTCGGAGCTCAGCAGCCCCAGCTCTTCAGGGACAGGGTGTGAGCCAGGGGAAAAGCTGCTAGTCAAACGGAGTCCTCGGCTGGCACTAAAGAGAAAGCTTGGGCAGCCCTTACCCTCCTTTCCGCAACGTGCCAGCCTTTCTGGTGCTTCTTTCAAGTGTTTTGTTCTTCCTATGCCTGTGCAGAAGGAGCAAGGTGAGAACAGACAGAAATTCCCAGGTAAAAAAAACAAGGGAATCCAGCGCAGGAAGTCTCCCAGCAGAAGCAAGGATGTAGCTTCAGCAGTTTCAGACACAGCTGAGTGTGAAGATTGGCAAGCAGCATCCATGGCTGCAGCAATGTGCTGGGAAGAGACTCTAAGAGGGACAGTTCAAAGTCAACAGCTGTTTTTCTCAGGAACTACTTTGCCTAGTAAGTTCTCAGCAGGGATTGAAAGGAATGAATGTTGCTCAGAAGACCTGAACTTCTTAGGTTTCCACATGGGTTCAAGAAACTCAGAAAATGAAGGGAAACATTCCTGTATGGAAATAAAATTTGAAGTCCCATCCTTGGAGGGGGAAATTGAGAGCACAGAGAGACATGGAATATCCTGTTTTCCAGAACCAGGAGGTCTTCAACCCAAAAAGATCACATGGAATACTGAAGTGAAATGCACTGGCTCCATAATGACACAGAATATTCAAATCCCAGATTTTAGGAAGGAGGTTTTGGGCACTCAGGAAGCCATACCTGAACCAAAACCTCAGCAAAAGGATGATACCCCAGAGAGGTTGAATGGATGTGAATTAGTTGGATCAAGAACACTAGAGACACAGAAAAGAGAATGGAGATGCTTGGGCAAGGAAGGCAGGAGATCAGTGGTGAAACCAAAAGTACATGGTCCCAAAGAGAGGGATGGTTCTGCCTTGCTAGAACAGCATACACAGTGTCTAGAGTCCAGGAAAGGAGCTTTGAATATGAGGAACAGAAGTGCATTGCTGTCACAGCAGCTGCAGGATCTGAGTGGACAAGAACAACCAACAACCAGAAGAAAGAAGCGTTGCATGAAAGTAGAGCAGCAGAGCTCAAGCTCTCAGGAAGGACCAGACAGCCCAGGGGAAAGTGGTAAGCACTGTTAGAGTTCCATTGTAGAAGTGCACGTGCAGAATTTGGGCTTCCAAATTGGTCCTGCAGCAAGACCCCTTTAAAATCTGGCTGCTGACTGAGTTTGAGAAAAGCTGGGGTGTGCTTCCCAGTACTGTGAATACCACCAGTCTTAGAAGGAGACAGATTCTCAGAGGAAATGCTTTTCTTGAAGGAGAAGAGCAGCCTATTTAACACCAAGGAGAGGAGGGCAGTTAGCCTTTTGGGGTAGAGAAGAGGGAGGGAGAGGTATGGATAGAAACAGGCAGCCTTCGGTAGGAAGTGCTGGGAATTTGTTTCCCTCAAAAACATTCCCCATTTCTGCCGAGGTGGTCAGCCACAAGTAAGAAAGGGGGCAGTAGTTTCAGCAGTGCAAGAATAAAATACAGTCAATTCTTCATTCATATGTCTATTATCTGTTTATTTTTGATTATTTATGATGCTGTCTTATTTCAGTGTCTCTGCCTTTATAGGATGCTGGGGTTTGCTTTCAGAACTTTTTAGTTGCTATTTTCTGTGAAATCCCAAAAGACATAGAAAGAGTGATTGTATTTTGATATTTTAAGAGAATACTGAGACAAACTGGAACAATTCTGAAAGAGGAGTCTTGAAAGTATTTTTTTCAGGATGGTTGTCTAAAAACATTATTTTTACTTTTGAAGTTAATACATTCAATTGACAAATACTTATTGTAGCTTATTAATAATTTATGTAAAAAACGTATTCTGAAAAACTGCGGTATTAACATTGTTTTACCTTGAAAACGAAGGTCTAAAAAAAACGTTATACTAGTATGCTCTTGAGTCCTTTCTCTAGTCTAAATTTTCAGATCAACAGTTTTTAACATAATCTCTATTTGCTTTCAAGTAAAAAGTAGTAGTCTCTAACAGTCCAAGTCCTTCAATTTTTCTGGATCTTCTTGGTGTGATGCATTTGGTTGGACTGTGTCTCTGAAAGATTGAATAAGTGTTCCTACTACACAGAACAAAAGATCTTTTAAGCCTGAGCGTGCAGACAGCATCTGCGTTTTCTTGCTAGATTTGCTCTAATTTCTTTTCCACCTATGTGGAATACACAAGAAATGCACAACTTCCGATGTCCTAATGATGCTGTAAGGTTTCTTTGCATGTGTTTCTGAAAATGTTATGTCCTTTTTACTCTAAGTGTCCCAATAGTGTTTATTTTTTCTAAAAATCATCACACTTCACAGAAATATTTTAGCCTTAAACAGTATCATGTTCTTTAGCAGCCTTACATGATTGGGGTTTTTTGTTCCCTTTATAAAATAGGGTAGTTTTTTTCTCTTAGAGTTTTCCTTAATGACACTTCTTGTGTTTTTAATCAGCAGAGGAACAATTGAAAGCAATTGAGCAAGACTCTGGTACTTCACAGACTGTGAAGAAGGTTAGGACAAAGCAAAACAGGGCAGAAGATTCTAAGGAAAAGGAATCTCACTACTGTAGATCTTTTGCAGTTTCTACAGCAGGTGACAGTGACAGCAAGAGCTTTCTATGCCACGCTGTAACAAAAAAGCCTGCTGTGCAATGTAGAAAAAGGCAACGTAGATCTGGTCAAATCAAGCAATTGCAAAGTTTAAGTGTGACTGCAGCTGAAAAAGTGATGAATACGTCTGCAAAATGTGATGCTGAACATTGCAGTAATGCCCTAAACCATTGTAGTGGCTTGCTCTGTGCAACCGTTAAGGATCCATTTGTGATATTAGAGGACTGTAGTTACATCAATACATTAGTGAAGCCTTCAGCTAGTGGAACTACCAACAGTTATCAATTAAATGGATTCTTCCATGTAGCCCATGGTACAGGAGACCTGAATGACATAATTTGCAGCACTAGTAGAAGACAAAATGAGACCTCACTCATAAAAGGTGGTTTATCATCTAATAAAGAGAAGAATGAAGATGGCTGTGTTTCATGCTGCCTGAGTGAAAGCAGTAAGTGTTTAAGGGGAAAAAAGTGGAATACTGATAGAAAGCCTAGAAAAAGGATGAAAACCACGGAGGAATCTGCAGACGTGGCTAGTAAATGCAAGAAGGATGAGTTACAAACAGAAGCAGCAGTTGCCATGTCAAGTTCATTTGCAGTTTCAGGACTAAATCATATTCTCTCAGCTTCACATACATCAGATTTTGATGCAGAAAAAAATACTCATGAAGTACAAACTCTGTCGGCCTGGAGGAACAATAATACCAAATTACTGGCACTAGAAACTGGCTTCAAGAAGACATCTGAGCTCTCTGTAGTAAAAGGAGAAAATTCAAGCAGCGTGGCATATTGTGCAGCTGCCTCAGATAGCCTGAGAGTGTTAGCGCAGATCCATGATGTTTCTGATTTTCCCAAAAGCAAGACAGGAGGAAATTTGAACAAAGTTAATAAGAAATTAAAGCAGTTTACCTGTCAAAGAACAATACCTATGACTGGTAAAAAAGTTTGGCCCATTGAATCTTGTGCCAGGACTTCTGAATGGTTTCTTAAAAATCATAGGTCCGTCTCAGAAGGAGGAAGACTTTTAAAGGCTGCTTTTGAGGATTCCTCTGATAAAACCAATAAAGTAGTAGGACATAGTGCAGTGCCTGGGAATCTGAGACAGCTGGATTTGCATACATCATTGGCAGAAATTACAAAAGAAATTACACATAAAAAGATTGATTCAAATATTGACTGTCAGGCTTCACTTGAAACAATGGAATCCTCTTCTGTGGGCATTTATGAGACTTTGACAATGAACAGTGAAAATGAGAAATCACCAGTTAATACAGATAGAAGTGCCATGACTTTTAACCATGGTGATGTGCAAGAAGTTAAAGCAACCTTGAATTTTACAGCAAAACAAAAAGATGAAAATGAAGGAGATGTAACAAAAAGAAACCTGCCTGCAACAGTCCAGAATGGTACAACAGAACAAAAGGATAAAAATGAAGGAGGTGTGACAAATAGAAACCTGCCTGCAACAGTCCACAATGGTACTTCTACAAGTAACACAAACAGTATAAACTTCAGCCATAAAGTATCAGTAGTGAACCAGACATTTTCTGATTTGAACCTAATTAAACCATTAACCTCTGGAAGCCTGACAAAATTCAAAATTCCTTTATGCATAAACAAACCTGAATCCAAGAAACGGGAATCTGTCTATTCATTTGAAAGCAAAACTTGTAGTCCACTAGAGCTTCTTGAAAGCACTAGTCCAGGAAGGCAGAAGACAGGTGAAGAGACTTTCTTGCTAAAATCTGAACAGCATCCTCTTCCTGTCATGGGTGTTGCTACATCTCCAGCTTCCATTCAGAAAAAAACAGATGAGATTGACAGTAAGGACTTCCAGCACAGTGGCTCTGTAAACCTCTCTGATGAGATCTCTGTGCTCTCTGAAAGTTTTTCTGCATATCCACATCCTCTTCTTGATGGACAACCAGAGCCATCTGTGCCTGATTTCTACAGTACTGAATGTGTGCTGAAATCTAGTTTTCCTGATCATTCTTGGAATGCAGTCGACCGCTTTGTTGAATTAGAAATAAATGGTGATAGAAAATCAAGAGGGAATTTTTCACAGCACGAAAGTCAAAATTTACCAGATATCCTTGAAGCTTACAATCAAGATGTTCTTGTCATTGATGTGATTCAGGATGACCCTGACCTTTTTGGAGCTAGTAATGAAGAGGAGCTTGTACCTGCACACTGTGAAAATACTCCAGTGAAAGCATCCTCTGCAAAGTGCATTGAAGACACAAAGGTGTATATTAAGCCTGAGTCTCCTGTTACCTCAGAAAAGACGTATTCAGTAGAGCGTAGTTTTAGGTATGCATGTAATTATTTTTCTATCACAGTATTTCTAAGTACTTTTATCTCATATCCATGTACTTTGGTTGTAGTGGTCAGGCTTCTGTAGAGAACTTCACTAATTTCTGTTGAAATTATTTCTTTATTTTATTTTGAGTATCTTAAGTTTGATTGAGCTATGACAGTATTCTGAATGCAGATAAATTAATTTGTTCTTCATGAGAGCTGGGATATACTCTGAATTGTAGGACAAGGTAGTCCTAAAGGGTTTCTTTAAATGAAGTGGAACATGAAAATAGAAACAAAAATAATTAAAAATAATATTCTTAATCTGACCTGAAATAGCAGATATCCCTTTGAAGACAGTTTTCTTAGTTGTAAAGTGGTATAATACTTAGATATGTCTTTACTCTTTAGGTGTAGCTTATTCTTCTCTTGAATCTCTAAGAATAAATGGTTGTCTCTACAGTAGTGTTCCATTCTGCCATTCTTCTTCCCTCTTTTTCTCATATCCCCAGACATATGAATATCTTTCAGATGTGTGATTTAGCTAAGGTGTTCTAGAGGTTTATGATCCTGCATCTTCATTCAGCAAGTTCCTGGTGTAAATCATTGGATGTTAATGTTTTACTGGATTTTGAGATGATAATAAAAGTCACAGGAAGAGGAAAAGAAATTTAAAGTAGAAACTAGCTTCTGTAAATGAGATAGTAGTTCTTCATGGAATGGATGAACTCACCTATTGTTTAATCTGTTTTCTCTCTTAAGCTTTGATACTTGTGTTCATTGAAAAAGTTTTAAGATTATATTTTTAATTTTACCAAAAAAAAAAAAAAGTTTAGATAGAAATAATGCAAGATTTTCCTCCAAAGATTAGGTTTCTTATTGGGATGGCTGTTTTAATTTTCTTTGCATGGTCTTTCTAGGTGGCTTTATGTTACCTGTATTTTAAGTAATACTTCAATTATTTTCAGGATTGTACCACCTTATAACTGCATTTTTTATTTAAACTCACTGGTCTCCTTATCCTTTCCTTTTCATTAAACCCATGTGCAAAAGAGGAAGGGAATTTTCTCTGAGGTGCTAAACACTTTTTTGAACATGAGAATATAAAACTTTCAGATGTTAATAGAATAAAATTTCTGCCAAAACAAGCCTCTAGAGAACGGGGCAGGTCTGCAGTAGGAGTGTCCAACTTCTTGAGAAGCAGCTAGGCTGTAGCATAGTAAATTTATTAGAAGGAGTATTCATTTCTTTCTGGCACCTGTTAAATTTGTTTGCCATTAGCCAAGAAAAACAAGAATGCATGGTTTTTCTTTCTTAGAATTTCCCCTTGATTTGCTAAAGCAACAGGTAAAATTTCTTACTTTGCTTTTTACCTTCCATAATTTTATGCAAAGATTATTAGATGGTGATTAACCATAGTTCATAGCAGTCAGGAACCTATTAATGAACTGCATATGAGAATATTGAAATAAGGCAATAGACTTTACCACAGTTTTTTCAGGTAACTTATGATAATCACTAAATAATAACCAGATCATGACCAGTTCATACTATTTTTTTTCTGTTGAGTTTTACCAAATACAGCTGGGACTTCAACAGGTTTTTTATCTGGTGCTTGCATTTTACATAGAGAAGAGTGCTGGTCACTTCCAGGCATCAGAAAAACATTCTGGCCTGGAGCCTGAATGGAGCAGTAAAACTGATTTTTCACATATGCTTTTGTTAGCCATTTTCTGTTACCTTGACTGGACAGCTTGCTGTCATTACACTTGGTGTCATTCACCAGGTACAAGCTTCTAAAATCTGTGGTGATCATATATTCTGTATGTAATATTAAAAATACATATTTGCCCCTCCTGAGCTTTTCTAAGGGAAAGGTATTAATATTTTCCCAACTTATTCTTGAGGTAGGTGAAGTAAGTATCTTCCTATGAACTGTTGTTTTTGTTACTCTCTTTGAGATTCATTGTTATGCCAATGATCTTGAATATAAAATTACTGTAAATCACATTTTTTAGAAACTGATGAATTGGCTCATTAGCACAGTATTTTCTTGATTTGTTATAGAGAGAAAATTTCCCTTAGGCAAAGATTAAATGACATCATGAGCTTTTACTAAAAATTTTGGGTTTTGAAATGTCTTGGTTTTACTTAACACGTTTAGATATATACTTGAAGGGATAAACATAAGAAAGCCAAAAGAGAAAGCTAAAAAGAGAAAGTTAAAAAGTTAAAAGGTGTATTAGATGTAAGGATTCTGTCCATGGCTAAAGGTATTACTGAAAACTTTTGATTTTATGTAACTGATAGATTATTTTTGCTTTTTTGCAATATGGAAATCTTAAAACTTTTTGTTCAAAACAGATGCATGCGAGAATCTGGAATGTCAAGTGATACTGAAAATTCTTGTAATTTGATGTTGAAAGGTAAGGGTCACTGGAAATTGTTGGTATCTAATCAAAAGAAGAAAGATACCAAAAAGATGTTTTGTAGTAAAATTAAGGCTTTCTGCTTCCCCCCCTAAAAAAAAAAAAAAAAAAAAAAAAAGCCAGAGAACTTGTATGGTTTTGCTTGTATGGTTTTACATTATCTTTTTATTGGAACAGCGGTTTGTTTCTTAATGCATATTGAGTCAACATCTTTCAAAATGACACAAGCCTGCATCATACAGAGAACATGAACTTCTCTGCAGTACTTGTCTGTTGGTAGTACTGGTGGCTTGGAGTCGGTTTTTTTGTTTGGTTTTAGTTCTGGGTTTTTTTTGACATTTCTCTGATAGTTTTAGGCCAAGAATTCTGTTAGTTGTTGAGATCATAGTAAGACATTGAGTCCTGTAATACTGCTTTGGAGTTTCTCTTGTGTTCATCAGCACACAGAATTTTGTAATTAGGTTTATTTCCAGGTTGTCCTTTTGGGGCTTTTTGTGGATACTGCTTATTCCACTGCAACCCTGTTTTGTTTTTAAAGGATGCCCTTTCTTAATGAAATAAGGTTACTTATGATTTAGTGGGGGGTTTATTCCTATTTAAAGCACAACAGTCCAGCTAAGCAGCACATAAATGTGGTTTGCTTTGTTTTCTATAGCTTGCATACCAGACCTACTGTGCAAGGTGCACCTAATGTAGAAGTTTCTGCTAGACAGGTTGGAGGAACAGGATTTTAACTTTGAATAGAAGCCCGTTACTGACAGTGGTGAACCCACAGAGTGCTGAGATTGGTTTTGGAGGTTCATGGTGTTTCCTTGTGCTATCAATTTGTCAGCTTGTTGTTAATCTGGCATTCTGACTACATGTTGATTTTGCTTCAGGCTTGAAAGGTGTCTGTGGCAGAACCTCTTGTGCTGGTTGTCCACATTAATGCGTTACATTCATGTGGTGGTGTAGAAAGTGGCAGGTAGTGCCTCTTGGAAAGGAGTGACTAGAGACTGTTTGGGGAAGAGAGAAGATTTCAGGCCTCAGGTGGCAAAATAAAAGGTAATGAAGTTTTAAGAGCTCAGATACCAAGAAATAGACACAAGTTTCCTGAGCAGGAGTCAAGAGGAAGTGCACAGTTAGGCCTCTGGTCTTGTAAAGGGATGCAGCCTGTGCCATGGAATCTGCAATGTTTGACATGATTAAAGCCAAGCCTGGCAACAAGTTTTGTACTGTTCAGTAACTTCTGCATTTTCTTTGTTGTTTTACTTCATTTTCTAGCACAGTTTGAGGCTGAAAGTCTTTGGTTCTTTTTGTGGTGCCTAAAGTCCTTCCCAGATCTGAGAAGCAGGATCACATCATAATCTTAGATGAATATGCACACAGTAACTTACGTGTAATACATGACTTTTTTAAAAGACCAGCACAGAACAAAAGAAAGGTGTCTGGTTTTGCTAATTGCTGATTATTCATGTATTTATTTAGAAATAGAAATATGTGTTACTGCTTTGGTGTCCTATGTTACTTAGTGAGGTCATGGGTCCTTGCCTTAGTGGCTTCACATTTAAGAAGGGGAAAAAGTACTACAGTTAAAATATTCTGGATTAATCAATCCTCTTCCAATACTAATCTGATTCTTTCTTCCTGTGTCTGGACAACACAGTGCAGTTGGAAGTCATTCGTGGGACCCAGTAGTGAATTTCTTTTCTATGTAGACTCTTCTGTTGTACATAAACAGCTGTTTCAGAAAGTTGCAGCCAGGTGTGTTGTTAATTTCCTGTGGCATCTGCAAAGGTGATGAAATTTCCTGACACTGAATTCTTACTGAGTTCACTATATTACAGGAATTTGGAGTTTCTCAGAGCTCTCTTTATTTAGTTCGGGGTTGCCTCATGTCAGTATGATTAACTTAGGCCCTTTTCTAACAAAGACTAAGTCTTTTTGCTTAGAAAATTACCACACTTATCTTTGGCTGTGTTTTAATAACAAAGCTTAACTGAATTTATTTCTAAAATACTGAACTCAATATTCTATAAATAAACCTGTTGTACTGTTCTACAGGGATTATTAAAGAACATACAGCTTGGATAGAATTGTAATTGCAGATTCAGCAATATTTATTTGAAATGGTTCCTGCCTTAAGCATGAAATATTTTTCCATGTAAATTTCACATTTAGGAAGTCCTAGGAGTTCTTAAATGTCATTAGTTCTAAGCCTTTGTAATATTTAGGAGGTAAAAGCTTTGTTGTCTAGTAGCATGGGAAACACATAAAGCAGTGCATTTATACATTTTCAGCTGAAGATGTGAAAACCCACAACTCCTTCAGAGGAAGCAGTCCTTCAAGAGATGTTAGTGAGGACTTTCTTAAAGATAAGCAACAGAGCAAACTAGATGAACTTTTGACGAGTTTGGACGTGGATGAAAAGGTACTGAGAAATTATGCTTTCTCTCCTTAAATAGTTTTAAGAAATTACAATTCACATGATAGGATAATTTTAATTACTAATGCTGTTTTATCAACAAAATTTTAAATTTCCTGTAATAAAAGGAATATTAGCATTTCATAGATAACTCTGTATTAGCAATGTAATCTTTGCTTAAGAAAACTTGGGGTTTTTTTAATTGTCACCAACAGTTAAGCTTCAAATTTGAAGTGAAACAGATATTGTTATATCAGTTGTTGCAGTAATGCTTTGTTCCCAATGGTATGAAAATTACAGTTCCAGTGTACACCTATGAATACTGCTTTGCATAGATGACATTTTTACTTAACATGTCTAATTTTAAATGTTGCTGTTAAATGCCTCTCAGTATCAGAAGGATGGGGCAGTGTTGGAAAGCTGGGGAGCTGCACAGCCATCATGCATTGTAGAAGAATCATTCTGGGCTTCATTACTTGAGCAAAAGGGCCTTTAACGTACAAATTTCTCACTGTTCAGAGGAAATAATTTTCATGCTCACTGACTATCGGACCTTTCTCTCTCTTCTCTCCTCTAGATAATAAGTCTAGGTCTTTTAAGATTTGCTGAAGTTTTATACTATTTGCTTCTTTGATAATTAATTGGAATTTACATCTCTCTGCCACTCATGTAGTTGCTAATAGCATTTACTGTTTTCCACTACTTCAGGAGTGGCTAGTGATTTTAACTGGCTAAGTTAAATTGTAAAATTCACATGGTTAAAAATTGGCAAGTAATTGAGAAGTTAATCAAAACAGCAGAGAATCAGTTTCCCTTTCAAAATTGTTTAAAAGAAGAGAAACATTTCCTTCAGGAAATGGAATTGGGGCTGCTAACATGTTACTCACAAAATTAACAGTGCCATTTTGTTTCCTGATCTTCTGGAGATACAATAACGGTGTGTCAAATTGGAAGGTTTGCTGAAGGTGGGGTACTTGTTGCAATATTACCAGATCAGTCCCAAATGGGTCATTTCATACCCTTGTGGTTTATAAAATCAGTGTCCTAGTGCTTGCTTTTCTGTGCTGTGTTGGACAGTAGAAAATACATACAAATAATCTGACCCAACCCAAACTCAAACCACAAAATTCATACCAAGCCCTAGCTAAACCTGTTCTGTATGTGGATAAAAAATAGCAGTGCACACCTGCAGAGGGAATGCAATGGCAGAACAGTTATTGCAGGTAGTCTGCCATTTGGGGAGATTTTCAGATTTTGCTTTATTGATAGTTTTTCCAATTAATAATCCTGTGAGAAGGACAAAAACTAACAATGGAGAAAATGCTAAAACTGTTCAGGAACTGGTAAAATAAAATTTGGAAATCCGATGAAAGCATATGCAGCTCTAATTCTTTGGCTATAATAAATTTGTGCTAGAATATGAAGTCCTAACTTACTTCATGAATAATGGACGAAACAAGGCTAGGATTCTATAACTCCATTCTGTACTAGTCATTTCAGATTCTCCTCCAAATATGTTTCGTGCTGTCTTTTTTCTCCATAACATTGGGGACTTACTAACTATCCACGGTTGTGTAGAGCTGAGCAAAAGGCTTAAATTCCTCCTCGGTGCAGTTTTAAATTTCATTAAACTTCATGGAGTAACTTTTGTGGTGTTCCGCACACCTGTCAAGCACAGTTAAAATTGGGCAGTGGGCCTAAAATTTGCTGAGATTATCTTGAGAGCAAAGAGAAGTGAAGACAGTTACATTGCCTTTCTTTCCAATTAACAATCACTATTTTAAAGAACACAGAGTATACAGGCCGTGTGTCCATGAATAAAGATGTTGTAAAAGTAATCCTACACACTGAATTACAGTCTCTACAGCTAAGACTGTCTTATCTTAACATCTTGCAATGATCACTAAAAGTTTGAAGTCTGTAGAGTAAGGCATAATGGGCTTAGCAGTGCTTTGCTGTACCTGAAAATAACTTTCAAATATCTTCACAGTTCAAGCTTGCAGATGGAGTGCCTGATGTTGAGGAAGAAAACAAGCGTGAAGCTGAAAAACGGTACATACAGTGTGTCCTTCATGTAACCTGTGGTATTCCCCAGTTAGTATACAAATAAAGCGTGATGTTGTTACCTGAACACTACCAGTATTTAATTCAGTTTTCCATGCTTATTGTAACTGTGATGAAGAAAATAAGTATGTGAAATAATATCATTTCACTGTAAAAAATACAGAACAAGTATAGTTATAGCCTGACAGGACAATAGGGCTTATTTTGTCTTTCAACTGGTGGCAATATATATTAACTTCATGATAGTGTCTCACTTTTGCATCTCAGTGTCAATGTAGCATAAGATGCATTTCTTGCCACAATAGCACATACCAGAACTTAACAAAACCAAAAAATAATAATAAATAAATCGTGACGCTTTCATTTATCTTTTCTGCTTATGAAAGAATTGAAATATCTTATTCAAATTCAGGCTGACAAATATTTGTACAGCAGTAGAAAAAGGTGCTTAAAAACATGCCACGTGCATGTGGACATGCTTTACCGTTCTTCTAGCTTCAAGCTGTGTTCGTGGTGTTTGTTGTACACGTCGTTTCTTAGTCTGATTTACAGAATCACAGAATTACCAAGTTAAGCTGAGTTGCAAGGGATCCATAAGGATCATCAAATCTTACTCCTGGCCCACCACAGCACTATTCCCAAGAGTCACACCGTATGCCTGAGAGCATTGAGTCCAAATGCTTCTTGAACTCTTGTCAGGTTTGGTGCTGTGGCTGCTTCCCTAGGGAACCTGTTCAGTGCCCAACCACCCTCTGGATGAGGAGCCTTTTTTCTAATATTTAACCTAAGCCTCCCTTGACAAATCTTCCGGCCATTCCCTCGGCTCCTGTCACCAGAAAGAAGAGATCAATGCCTGCCACTTCTCTTCCCCTCACAAAGAAGTTGCAGACTGCAGTGAAGTCTCCCCTCAGTCTCATCTTCTCGAGGCTAAACAGACCAAGTGACATCAGCTGCCCCTCACCAGGCTTCCCCTCAAGGCTCTTCACCATTTTCATTGGCCTCTTCTGGACACTCTCTCATAGTTTAATGCCTTTCGTACATTGTAGTACCCAAAACTGCACAAAATATTCAAGGTGAGGCTGCCCCAGTGCAGAGCAGAGCAGAGCAGAACAGTCCCCTCCCTTGGCCAGTGGGTGATGCTGTCCCTGATGCCCCCCAGGACTCAGGGCCCCAGTTGGCTGCCAGGGCACTGCTGACTCACATTTACCTTGCCATGAACCAGAACTCCCAGGTCTCTTTCCACAGCACTGCTCTCCAGCCTCTTGTTCCCCAGTCTGCCTCTACTTCCAGGGTTGCTCCGTTCCAGTGCAGAATCAGCACTTTCTGTTGTTATGGTGGGTGATTGTCAGAGCCTGAATTAGTGTCAGACTGAGAAATTTTCATTCATCAACAGTCCACAAATGATGGAGAATTAGTTTTTGTAGGAAAGGTATACTTAAGATGGAATTCTTAAGTAATTAGAAGAGAAATAACATATTTTAGAATGTTGTGGTTTAGGAGCAGTAATCACCAATTAGCTACTGCAAGAATTAACCCTGTCATGGCTGGATCTAGGACACAGAAATTTTCAAAATAACCAAGAAACTTTAGCTGACATAGAAGAGAGTACTGCCTTTATTCCAACACCAGTCGCATTTCTGCGACAGATTTGAGTGCACCAGAAGTCTGTTAGTGGAGAATACTGCATCTTTTTGTTAATCCACTAGAGAGCTCCAAGCTCCTCCTTCTGCTATAAAATGCTTATTTAAATTTGCCTTAGTAGTACAAATAGTTCTTTATATTACAGAGTAAGTAGATTGTGCTGAATAAAATATGTTTGTGCAATGCAGTACTCTGTGTGGTTAGAGAAAAGGCCTTCATTTGGAGTTGAACTATGTTCTCTAGTTTTACTGAAAAACGTTACCATTGCAAAATTTTGTCTAGGAGAAAACATAGTTGCTGTTCTTATTTAGCGAACTCCACTTCTAGTGATGCTATTACTAAAAAAATGCCTGTAGAGCTATATAGTTTGCAGTTCCTGGCAGAATGGTGTGCAGTTTCATGTCTAGACTAAGGAAATCTGAAGGGAAACTGCTATGAAAATCCTGTTGTGTCAGAACTGAGACTGGCATCATGAGGAAGCATAGGAAGATTTTATGTGGTAATTTGAAATTTCTGAGTAACTGAAACTGTAGAGTTTTTTATTCCCTCTGGAAACCAATTCAAATGCATTGATGAGAATAAAGACTGATCTTGAAAAATTTGAGTTTGTTAGATGGAATTTCTTCCTCTCTACTGTAGCATTTTTATTTCAAATTGTCCTGAAGTTTAGGAACTATTTGAATTATCCTGGCTATGAGAAATATTAAATATCTTTAATGCCTTGTAGGAGGCAGCAACTGTGTTTCTGTCCACAGAGGAGCGAGCAGGTTAAAATGTCCTTTGTACTGAACCAGGATTCTTAATTGAAAGGGGGAAGGGGATTATATTTTTCTTGTGGTTTTGTTTACAAATACAAAAGAGATTACTAAGTATTTTGCTAGCAATATTTTTAGCTTATTTTTGAAAACACCACATTTTAGTCGTTTAATTCTCTGGAATATACATATTTGGGAATAAAAGCAGAACAGTCTCTAATTGGAGTTCCCTTTAAAATCACCTGAATCTTCTGTCCAGTAGTCAGATTTTAGGAAAGAAAACAGTTTTACTGTTACTCTTCAAATGTAATTTGAAAGGCCTTGAGGTTTACTCCTTTGGTGGATATTACATAACTGACTAATATAAAGTAGATGCTTCTTCAGAGGTGACAGAAATCATCTCAGTCTTCTTGTCAGCATGGGGGGGAGGGGGGAAGAAGTGATTCTCAGCTGCCTTTTCTACTTATTTATTGAATTTCGTGTGGTTATGCATTAGGGCAGAATAATCTCATCTTAAATCATAATCAGAATGGACCAGGCAAATGAGAGTAATGAAAGTGAAATTGTTGGCACTGCTGGCTATTTAAGTTCATGGCAAGTTTTGAAGTGTTGTGTAAAGTGTTGAAGAAATTCTCATCTTCTATGCACTTAATCTCTCTTTTTAGGCATACAGTACTTGAAATAAATGCCTGTTTAATTTGGTTAAACAAACCAATTTTAACAATTTTTTGGTTTTTTAATACTCAACAGTGACTCTAAATGCAAAGTGAACTGTGAAATGCTATCAGGATTACCACTGAATGACCGAGAAGTAAATCTCTTCAGTGGAAGTACAGAGATGAAATCCTGGACAAATGGTATTGTATGCTGTGTTGTTGAACCCTTCAGATTTTTTTGTTTTGTGCTTTGTTTGCCTATGAAATCTTAAGGACTGTCTTCAGTTCCCGAAGATGTTAGCTGAAATTCTACTTTGCATATATAAAAGCAAAACTGCAAGATCTGATATAGTAGGTTAGTGAGAGGTTTGGGGTAAGGTTTTAGCAGAATTCTATTTGTAGGGTCAAATAGAAATAATTTATCTGATATTTATGCCTCTCAGATACTTTAATGGTACAGCAGTACCTGCATTCTTAGTAGTCTGACACACTGTCAGACTACTAGCAAGTAACTTGTTTTCCTTTATTTGTGGTCAGAGAATGTGACTGGAGATTTGGTTGGTTGATTGTTCTTAATAAAACTTGCTAGAGTGGTTTGCCCACCTTGCTGAAAGTCAGAACTTTGTTATTTATGCTAATTCAAATGTTTTTGAGGCATTCACTAGACTGGATCAAAAAATTATATCGATTAATAAGTACCACTTCATGTTGACCCAGTGTATTTCACACATGGGGCAGATACCTCTTCATTGTCTGTGCCACCAGAGAAATCATAATGGAACTGCAGTCACTGCACATAACAAATCTGACATTTAGCCTTGCATGGATGCATGGTTTATTTGGAGTACAAGGTAGAGAAAAAACAGAAATCAATTACTTGTGGATAGATACTGCATTCTGTTTGTTTGCAACAAGTGCTTTGGAAATTAGCGTTTTTAGAATTATTGATAAATACAGATGTTTATAAACATGGATTTCTTAAGATCAGTGACAGGGGTTCTTGTTTAGTTTCAAATTTTACTGTCAGTCTGAGCTTGTAGAATAATTTTGTCATCACGTTGTTTAACAGTATTTGCAGGTAGTGAAAGAAACACATGTTATAAAAAGCAATTTTGAATATGTCTTCAGACTCCAGTTGTTTGAACCTGTTCATGTCTTTGGTTTTCAAAGCATATAGACCTCCTGAAAAGTTCTTCTGTCTTCCTTCGTCAAGTCATTTGAAAGTTGCCAAAGCAAGAGTTTCTCTGCTAGGACAGGGCAAAACATCCTTTTGTTCCCAGAACTGTGCAGGCAGGATTGGCTATTTCACTTCAGTGCCTGCTTCCCTACAAGTCTGACCTACAGTCAGCAAGAGAGAGTACAAACTTGAAAAGACCTGGTAAAAAACTCTGTTCTTGGGGATGGCAAAAATCTGGAGGAAAGATCAAATTCCCAGTGGCATTTTTCTGTAGCTAGTGGTTGGCTGTTTTCTCAGTCCTGTCACTAAATGTATCCAATCCTGAATTTACCAAGTGGCCCACCATCACTTCACAAGTTTTTGCAATGTGACAATACGTAACATTAAATACTCATTGTTCTACATTATGCTCTTCCTTCCTATCCTGTGATAGCCCTATCTGTTAGGAAGACATGGAGATTAAGAGCCATGTACCTAGTGCCAGTATCTAGTAGAACATTCTTTGTTGGATGCTCTTTAGTAACTGTAGTTTGCCAGAAAGGACTAAGCACCCTGTCTTTTGAACACTCAGTTCTTTGAAGGGGCCAGATGGGAATCCTAGAATGCAGAGTATTCAAAAGCTCTCTTTTGTCTTTAGATATGGAGTTGAAAATTTGAACTTTTATCTTCTATTAGCATTATTCATTTTTCAAAGAAAGAAAACTGTTATTCAATAGTAATTGAAGTTCTAAAACCAAATTTCATGGTTAAGAAACCAATAACTTACACTGGGCTTAAACTTGCTCCTTCCACTGCTTAAAACATAAAAGTATGTCAGTTCTAAAAAAATAGCTTAAATTTAGGGCTAGTGATGTTGGAATGCAAAGATTACTGATAAAGTGGATAGGTTTTGAAATTAAAGCTTCTGGATATTTTTATTCCTTTTCTTATCTCTGTAAGTTAGAGCAGGAACCTTGGATGAAGTAGTGAAGTTTTTAATTTAAATGTGCTTACTCTTGAAGTTTGTGTAAAGTCTCACTTTTAGGATAATCAAGAAAACTGTAATTTAAATTACTGGCTTTAGACTGCATTAATCAAATTTTCATTAATCATTGCTGTGACTTGAAGGAACTATAAATATAAAGGAAAATAAGATAAATTAGAGTAGTTTGAGTATGATTCGTTTTTATTATATGATTTGCTGCCCTCATCCTAATTTTTAGGTTACAAATCTTCAGGAAGAAGTACTTTACTGCCAGTGAAGAATTGTGGAGATTTTGAGCCATGGACGATGGAGAAAAATGCAATTGTAAGTTTTAAATCTTTGATTTCTGATCGTGTGGCACTAAATTTCTTACAGATGTTCAGTCAGTTCCCTGTGTAGCAAGTCAGAAACTGTGAATCTGTATATGTTTGTTTTTACAACTTTAAAGGTGTTATCACTGAGTAAGTATAATTTCTGAGAACAAAATCAGTGATGAAGGGACTGCTATTCACAGTGAAGTTCTCTTGATTTCTGCTTTTCAGCTTAAGCAAAATCAAATAATGATTTTGGCTTTTTTGGTGTTTGTAGAACTGAAAAGCAGAGAAGGTTTCATATGTATAGGACAGCCTGCTTTTTCCATGATGCCAGGCACTGAAAAAGGGTCAAGGAAATTGATGCCCCAGAATTCTCAGATGATTACTCAGAGCTGTGCAGGAATTTGTCACCTTTCTCCCTCCTCTCTACGCATTTTCCATTTCATTTAGCACTTCTTGCATTATCCCTGTTTGTGGTCTTCAAGACAGGCTTTTGTTGTGTTAGGCACTAACGTGGCATGACAAGGGATTGATCTTTGTGTCCTTTGAAATGCTGCAAGTACAGTATAGAGACATGGGTTGTTTCAGAGGCATAATTATAGATTACTTTTTCAGCTTTTGTTTACAGTTTGTAGATATTGTGAAATTCTAAAAAAACCCAAAGACCATGCTTGCTTTCAAGAAATATTAGTTGGCTTTTTCTGCTTGTTGTAATTTTATTTTATTCCAGGCTTATCATTCAGTCCAGCAGATCCTTGATGCACTTAACTTGCCTCGTAAATACTGCAGATATTATTTCATGACTTCACGTGGGTGTGAAAGAACAAAATGTTGGTTCTGTCATGTTCCAGGACAAGGGGATGAAAAGGTAAAACATTCATTGAAGTAAGGAAAAGATTGTAAATGTGAACACTTTTTAAAACCAAAACATCATCTCCTTTGTTCATTTATATATGGGAAGTGAGTAATCAGTCAGAGATTGATGGATGAAAAAATAGTTCAGAAATTCTTCCTCTCAAGGTCTTCTAAAGTTTTGGGGTTTTTTAATGGTATAATTTTGAACTAGTAGCTGTTTTAAGAGAACATGCATCAACAATTAGGCTGTACAAATACAGAATAGTAGAATGGGCAGATTCTGAGACATGTCTATCCTGAACATCAGAAATTTCAAGCAAACCTTTGCAAAGACTTTGTATGCATTATAAAGCCAAAAGCCATCTGTGGTATATTACCTTCTGCATGTTTTGTGCAACAATAGGCACGTTTGTTTTAAGATGCTGTAATCTTAAATAGAGCAACAATTCTCATCATATTTGCAAGCAAGAATAGTTTTCCAATGATCGGCAAAGTAAATGTGTTTTCAAACCATTTAACAGAGACATTATGAGTTGAATGCTTCCAAGAACTGTGCAAGGCAAGCTAACTGTACTGACAAGTAATAATAATTTGAAATTGGCTGTATGAAAGTTTTGTAAGTTAACTGGAAGAAACAAAAACATCAAAGCAAGTAACCAATAACAAAGGCCTAAACTTGTCCTCATCAGATCTTACAAGATTTATTTCTTACCTACCATCCTACTGGTATGAGAGCAATTTTATCATTGATGTCAGCAAGTAAAAAAATTCAGAATCAAAATGTAAAAAATAACTTGTAGTTAACCTGTTAGACATAATTCCTAAAAAAAGTAACATCTGAAGGAGCTTGCCCGTCTTACTGATATCTTAAATATACTGCGTGTGAATTTTTAAAATGTATCAGTGTAATTTGGTTTTCTTTTTCTTAATGTTTTCTCTTTTCCTTTTTATATATTAAAAAAAGCTGCTTTACATTTTTGTTAATGATTTCTAACCTCTTTGAAAACTTACATTATTTATGATATGTAAGATAATTCGTGAGTAGTTTTGTATGGAACACTTTTCCTTTTCTCAAGTGTGATATATCTTTGGCAGATTGTAGTGAATATTTGTAATTTTCAGCTAGTTTATCTGAATTATTGTGGTTTGAAGTGCTTTATTATGCTACAGATACATTAAAGAGTTGTTTGCCTAAAACTCTTAAAAATCCATTCCATTTGATTTTACTTGTGGTGCAGCACTCCAGCACAGTTTAACTGCTCTACCCACCAAACCTAGCCAAACATTCTTGGTAGCCTGAAAGTATACCTGAGTTTTGTTTATTTGTGTATGAATTTGTTTTTAGACCTGCCCATTTGAAAATGATAATAGGCCAAGCACCTCATGGTGGCACCAAAGTACATAAATGAAAAACAGGTAAAGAAGCGATAAAGGAGTCTAATCTTACACAGGAGGAATAAATCTCCTCAGGAGAAGAACTGTTACGCAGACTGATAGTCTGTCTGCTTAGAGCTGTATTCTTAGTGGTAATAGTTACCAGAGTTTTTGAAGAGAAATACCTTTCCCCATAATGATGTTTTTTCTTTTTCCGTGAGTAAGTGTTTGATGCTTTAAGGCATAACTTCCTATTATTTAACACTTTATAGTTGTAGTTGATCACACAACACAGCAGTTCTTGAATTCATAAAATATCATACATTTTGAAAATCGGCATATGCTTGAGCTCAGCAAGTTGTACAAGTTACCAATTTTTGGGGTTTTTTTAAAAGATGCCTTTTGTTTTCAAACAGTGAAATCTGTGTTGTATTAGGTAAACAAAAGACTGTTTCAAACACTTGCCAAAGTATTTAAAGGGAGAGTGAATCTTAAAAATATGTATCAGTGATGGAGAAGAGAGTAAAGGAGGTGACACTAGACTCTTCTCCATGGTCCTCAGTGAAAGGGCAAGAGACAACTTAATACAGGAAATTATTTTGCTCAAATGACACTTCAGTGTAGCACAGACAATCATTTAATGGTTAAATAAGTGGTTTCAAAGCATATTATGAAAGCTGTGATTTTTTTTCTCTTTGTGATTTTTATCTTAGCTTTGTGAACCTTACTGATTAATTTTTTACTTTCTGTGACTTCATACTCTCCTTTTCCTTGGTCCTATTAACCTCTTAACTGGAAACAAAAAGGATATAAAATAAGAAGATTTCTGCCTTCATTAGTGTTGTTTTACAACTTCAGGGCCTTGGATAGATGCTTCTGTTGTGGTGGATTTTGGTTTTGTGTTTTTAATGTGGCTTCCTAAAGAAAAGATTCTACACTGTCCTTTTATTACTGTCTCTAACCACCACTAAATGACCTCTGAACAGAGATTGTGGATCTCAAAGAGCTTCTACAGTGTATAGAAACTGCTTGTAAGAAGGATGCTGGTTTTGATCTCACTGAGATAAAGGCTGCATTATGGGGGTTTCTCCCTTATTAAACAACAGAGTGGGCACTGACTGGGATATGCTGAAGTATTTAGTGAATTCTTGTGCTTGTTCTTCTGAATAAGCACCTCTGTGTTATTGTAGTAGGACCATGTTTTTACTGGAGAGTTGGTTGGTTTTATAAGATGCGGAGGCCTTTATTGTGGTTTTTATTAAATTGTCGTGTTAAGTGAGTCATGGAATCAATTGATAGATGACAGAATAGTGTGATTTATACTGCCTTTTAAAAATAGGAATCATCTCTTTCATGTACCTTCATTCACAATCTATTACAGCTAACTCAAAATTTAAAGATTCTCACATTTTTACATAGTCTGTGGGTGAAGTTACACCTTTTAAAATTGGAACAACTAAATCAACTGAAGCCTTCTAGAAGGTGTAAATGAAGAACACATTTAGTTTCTTTTATTAATGTAAAAAAGCATGTCCCATGATTGAATACTACTACAAGTGGTTGTCCAAGCAATTTCACTAATACTTGGAACAGTCAGAGCTCCAGATGCACTCTTGGCTTTTTTTGGGAAGTCCAAAGAAGGAGAAAAACAGATTCCAAAAGAAAGCAAACTAATTTCCATACTGTAAGCACGTGCTAAAGTTTATTCTGGAAATGTCCTCAGGCACCCAGGAGTATAGATTTGGATTAAGTGAGTTAATCTGTTCCCAAGTGACACTTGACATATATTACTGATCAAAAACTTGACATGATTTTCTGAAAGGTATATCTTGGAGTATAGCTCAACATTGTCATACTGCTTCCAAATAAAAACAATAAGCTTCATTTATGCTTAGATGTCCAATTTTTGTATTCTTTGGCTTGATGGTCTAAACAGACTAATAGTTTTAAAGTAAGAAAGATGTCTTGGCCATAAACCAGTATCTTCTGCTTTGATGATAATTCATTTGCTATATAATAAGCTTCATGAGTGAATCCTGTGTTGTTTTGAAGTTGCATGTAAAAATAAACCAGATTCAGTTCTGTAGTACCATGACTACTAATTTAGGGCATTTTCTGTCTCTTGATACTTAATTTTTTCACAAAATAGTATTTAACATGACCATTTTACATTGTTGTGCAGAAAGACTGTAAATGTACCAGAAGTGAGAGAGAATTTCTAAAAGGGGGTTGGGATTTTCCCTAACTTGGAATTCTAAGATATAATATCAGTAATCTTTACTTCTTCATCTGCAGAAATGGAGCAAAATGTTTAAGTATCACAAAGTTGACAGCTTAAGATGTTAAGACAAGAATGTTCCAATACTAAATAGCATTAAAATATATAGGTGTGGATTTATCTTTTTTTTTTTTCAGCTAATTCGGTCGGTGGTGAAATGGCTCATTAAATCAAATGAGTTCTGAATTTTTTATTCTGTGTCCTTGTGAATGGTTATTTTTGACAACTGGCATTACCAGCTTCATTTTTGGATGATTTTTTGACTTCTTAGTTTATACATTCATGGAATTTTTACTTACCACGTTTCACTTTCACATTTTTGCTTCCCTTTCTTTGTTCAGTCTGCCACATTTATACTAATCCTGAAATAATTGAATTTTCAAATTCTCTTATTTTTTTGTTTGTTTGTTTGTTTGCTATGAGTACACACACATGGAAACGCTTGTGGTCCCAACAGCTTCGTTCCCAAACATTTTTTCTGCATTATTTTTTCTGTTTGATTTGCTGGCCTTTTGACAGAGCCTTTGTCTACAGACCCCATTACCTTCCTATATAATTTATCAATATGTGTGGCTTACATGGAGGTAGTGTAAAGCTCATTATATAATAGAACTCATGTTTGTGAGTAGTTCTTTTGTTTGGCATAAACTGAAGTTACATTTTACTATAATTTTTCTGGTTTTTTACAGATTTGCATGGCAATTCTTAGGACATACATTAATATCAGTGAACCAGGCCTCCTAAAACGTGCAGGTATGGTATAGTAGTAGCTGTTGATGTATCTTTGTTACTTAGCATATTTGAAGTAAATTGAATAGGCTGTTGAGAGAGAAATGGTTGCTACTTCAGCAGTGAATAAAAAGTTCGTACTTCAAATGAAAGAATACATTCAATTTAGATACACACTTACCTCAGGAGGTCCTTAGAAATCTTACTGCCACATAAAATAAACTTAACCTGACTGTAACTAGACTTGGGAGTAGAAATATGTAAATAAGGCAGGGAGGAGGTTTAACAGAACCCAAGTTTTATTAATGTGCTTTTGAACATCCTGGCTAAACATCAAAAACCCAAAAACTTGAGAATGAAAGCTCTTGAAATTAAGTGTTGCCACTGCACACACCCCCAACAGCCAAAAACTTGAGAATGAAAGCTCTTGAAATTAAGTGTTGCCACTGCACACACCCCCAACAGCTTTAGTTTAGTCCTTACCACCTATATGCAAACGTTAACACATTTTATGGACTGCAGTTCATTCACATCCATCTGAGCTTTTGAGTTCAGTCAGAAAGGGCTTTTATTTTGTTTTTACTCTGGACAGTGATTCCTTTTGTACCAGTCTTTAAGTTTTTGAAAGCTTCTTAGAGTGTAGCAGAATGAGAATGGGGAATTCAGTTGCACCATTTTCTAGTGTGTTCCCATGCTGAACATGTAAGTGTGGGTAGCACTGGATACCAGCAGGCCACTGTACGTGTCTATCAAGGAAGGGTGGCACTGGAACAGGTTGTAGGACCATCCACTGTAACACAGCACTTCACTTCCTAGAGCTTCCTGTCTGGAAAGGCCCTACTACCTTGATGCATGTACCAAATCTAACCTGGGTTTGTGCATTCTTCTTGTGCTGCACCAAATCAGCTAAACTTTGTGGAGACATACAGAGCTTACAGTGCTCAGCTCAATGATAGAACATACTTCAAAATAATCAGTCTAGTTCTGGTAAGGTTAACACTGTATTCAGACTGAATCTTTTCTCCCTATCCCTGTCCCATAATATCTTGGACAATTAAGCATTGTTACATTGTGTCTAAAATTTAAGGAAATAACTTGTTTGAATAGTTAGCATCAGTTAACCCCAAAGTGACATTCAATTTAATTGCTTTTTCAGTCCAAATATTTGTGCAGTATTACAAAGAAGTTATTCCTGGTGTGGATTTTGCTTCTGAAGTGCTCAATGATCTTCTTGTTTCATTGCTCAGCAACTGTATGTTGCAGCAAGTATTTCGGATATTGAATGTAATTGTACAAATCAAGACACTGGTACGTGAATTTGTAATATTTTTTAAAATCTTAGTTTCATAATTTTAGTTTGTTGAGTGGGGGGAGTAATTCAGAATACCTTATTATAAAATCTCTAAGCTTTCTAATTGAATGGAGGTGCAAAACTGATTGTGCTTTTTCTGTCTATATTAGCCAGCTGTAGATGTTCTTCTGAAAGTTTTTGAGCATGTGGCTTCTTTGAATATAAGAAGTGCTGTGCCCACATTAATGAGTACCTTCTGTAAGGTATGAGTTTTGTTTGTACTACCGTTGTTTGTTGGAATTTCTGAAATATGTTGCCTATTTTAAAACTTGAACATACCAATTTAAAAAACAGTACTGAAATAATATTTAAAGTGTTATTGTGAGCAGCTGAATTCGTGGTATTGGTTTTCATTTATTCCTTCGTTTCTGACTCAGATTCACTGCGATGTGTTTTTCCCAGTGTTGTTTGCCATTTACCTCTGAAAATGCATTAAGTCTTAGCAAGTTTTTTATGCTTACTTTTCTTGTTTGATACTACAGCTCATTGATGCCGGGATCTTCCTTGAGTTAGAACATTTTGATTACATTATTAAGTTACTTCACCAATTGCAAGTTTCTGGTTGGGAAATGCGTACTGTTTTGAACATAAAATCCAGGTATGTCTTTAAGGAACTATTTTCTAATTACAGCTGCCTAGTTCCTTCTTCAGCATCTATTTTTATAAATTTATGTGGAATTTTTAAAAGCTGTGTTGGTTGAAAATCCTATCATATCATGCCTAATTGTATTTTAAAGTGCTGTCAATATACTGTTTCAAAGATCAAGCATTGTTAAATCAAAACTTAGATTATGAACACAATTATTAGTTTTTTTCCATATCAATCATCATTATACAATCTGCTGCCAGCTATGATAGAAGTTTATATAGCTAGCCAAATTAGAAACATCATCGTTTAATGTATCATTTAGGCCTACTTAAGCACACGGTACTTCTGCAATAAAAAACCCTTCTAGGATTAGTTATAATCTGAAGTAGTTTTCTAGTTTCCTTTACAGTGTGACTACATAAGCATTTGTGCCAACATTACTAGGGAGGAGGGTCATTTTTTTAGTACTGCTTGGATATGATGGGCAAAATGTCAAATCTGTTAAAAAATTGCTGATACTTCCTCATCTCTTGAACAAGGTTGTGATCCTTTTTCATTTTTGTATCGTCTGCATCATATACACACGGACATAAGTTGAGAAACTAAATTTGTGATTCATAAACATATCCTTGATTCTTAGTGGAAACCAAATATGCAGCATCTGTGAAAATAGCTCTGCTCAATTATTTGTTTAATATATGTGCTAACTTCCTTTGGCAAGATTTTAAATGAGCGTTTTCAGTGTGCAGTTGTGTGATACAAAGCAAATAGGATCAAAAATCACGTCAGTTTAATGTTCATTTGTGATAATTTATTGTTCACCTTCTGCTAGTTCAATAGGATGTGTTAGAATTTAACTATTTTTTTTTCATATGGAAGATTTAAGGAAAGATATTTTGCAAAGACATGGATTTTTGACTTCAACTTGGCAGTGGCTGAAATTCAGGTACAGTATGTGCATTCTTCATGACTTCTTTTAAATTACATGAAATAGCAATTTCTAGACATTTTTTTAATTAGTGAGCTTTACTATTAAGTGTAGTGAGCTTATGTAAAGCCATGTTTGGGAAGGCTTAACATGCAGGAGAAAACTGTCTTTGGCCTTTCTGTAATGTCACTATTTTAATTTACATACTTGTAGTTTTTATCTTTGTTCTGCATCAAATTGAAAAATTTTGTAATTTTAAACAGTTTAATTATTTCCTCTGCTTTACATTTATTGTGCTTGTAAGTGGTATTGGTACATCATTCCTCACCAAAAATTTATTTAATACATTATTTAGCAAATAGAATTCATATCTAGTATAAAAACATACAATTGTAAAAGCTGCAATTGACAACATTAAGCAGTATTTTAAAGAATAAGAAAATACTGTAAAACATTCTTCATTTGGACACTAGTGACTTTCATATTCAGGGTCAAGTTACTCATTATGCATAATTATAACATAGTTTACATATTATCACACATCCTGTGTAGATCCAGAGATTGAAATATAAAAAGAAAAAAAAAGTATTGATTTTTTTTTTACTCGTTTAACACCAAAGTCATCAAGTGATCTGGCAAGCAAAAGACTAATTCATATAGAAAATAACCATAAATTTAGTGTGCATCATGGGAAAAAAAATACTGAATAAATGCCAGTTCCTAAATAGGATGAATAAGTTATGAGCTTTCTCAATTGGGGTCATGACATGAAAAAAGGAATTTAATTTCTTGAGGGATAGAAGTAATTAGCAGTCCATGCAAATTTGGCAACATGTAACTGCCATATGAACATGAAGATTCTTGGCAGTAGTGTTTCATCACCATGTTTTTTTCTCTTTAAGTCTATCCCAGGTACATATCTCAAATTTCACTATATTTTCTTTTTGGTTTTCTGGAAGCAGGTTTGCTTATATTTATTCTTTTCCTTCTTTACAGCACTGCAAGGAAAAAAGGGATTGGACCAAGCTGGGAGCTTTGTATCTTAATGCAAGAACTGGATGTGAACATTTTGATGATGTTCAGAAATTGTGTTTATCTATTGCTGAAATTCTAACCAAAGCTTCTGAGACAGACAAACCAGGAGTGCCTTTTTGCGATTTTGCTGATGCAGGTAAAATTAAAACGCAAGAAGTGCTTTTGTAGAGTTTTTAAAAGAGATAAAAAATTAATTCATATAGTTTTCTGATTCTTAGTTAATTTTATGTTACAATACTCTGAATTTTTCGAGGTTCAAATACAGTCAGCTGTAATGTTCAGTAGAAGCTATTTTTCAGTAGAAGTAAAATGCTTACACTTACAGTCAAGGAAGATTCTGAAGGAGGAACAGTAGAGTTTTGTAAAATCAAAAAAGAGAGCTGGGAATTAATTTTTAATAAAAATTCATTTCATTCATTTTTAATAGAAATGGCCTATGCTCACGACAACGGCAAATGTATTTAAGTATTTTCATGTGAAGTGTCACTGTTAATAGCATAAATAAGATTTAGTGCTGTAAATGTTTATATAGTTGTGTATTTTAAAACACATTGAGCAGATTACATACATCATGTATATAATTTGTACTCTTTTTTTTTTTTAGTGAGTTGGATTTTTAGAATTATTTTATTCTCTAAAGAACCAAGGGTTTCTGCAAGGGCTGAGTGCTCAAAAACCCAATGTTTTAATCGTTCTGGCAGGTTTTCTTGCCACTTTCCTCCCTATGCCCCTTCATTTGCATATCTGTATCATTCTTCCTAATGAGTTTGCAGATTACTGAGGCTTGGTGAAGTGTCAGTGGGATATTAAATCGTTTTGCAAAGGATTACTTAGATATTTTTCAACCTGTATTATCTACTAAAGCATAGTGAATATTTATTCCACATATGTGACATAGCCTTTCTGACCACAGATTTTAATATCATAAAAAGCTGTCAGAAGTTCCAGTTGTGACACAGTGAGAAGATTTTGTCAGAGCTTGGAACTTAGTCTATCTTCCCTAAAGCAGTGGTCTTCTAACTGATAGGCACTTCCATCAGTAAAAATTCTTCAGCAGTCATGCACAATTTATTTATATATTATATACATATGCTACTACACCAATATATTAAATTCACTATAAACCATACACAAAAACAGGAAATACAAATATGAGATAAATACTAAATAAACACAACATTGTAAAGTATTTCACTCATTTTTATTTTCTAATAGTACAAAAAATATTTCCTTCCCACAGCTGAATGGATTGTTGTGCTCACATCCTACTTTGAGACCACTGCTCTAAAATTCTAACAGTGCTTTCAAAGAGGTTGTAATTACTCAGTTCTGCAATTACCAGAATTTCTTTGTGGTGCCAGAAAATGTAAAGCTTACTTTACAAATAGTGATGTTACTAAATTAGGCCATTACATGTCCAAGCATTTTATGGATGGCATAGGAAGATGCTGCTTTCAATGGCAAATATTTCAGAAAATGTAGTTAGTATTTTTGCAATTACTGTGGTTTTGAAATGTGTAATTTCTTTAAAACTGCCTTTATATGTAAAATAAATAAATAAATAAATAAGCCTTTTTCTTTCCAGTAATGAAAAATTCACGCCATAATAAAGGAGACAGACTTTTCGTTGGAAGGACTGGGATAAGTGTAATGTATTCCTATCACAAAGTACTGCAGTGGATAAAGGTATGCAGAGCTACACGAAACTGACTGGAAGAAAAAGAGAAAAATAATTAGTAATTCCTCTTCTGGATATTAAACTCTAGTTTCTCTAGTGGAATGACTTGGTATGCCAGTCTGCCTCCCTGCCATCTTGGTACTTCCTAACTGGCCAGCTGGACCAAAGCATTTTATTGTGCCTTTCTGAGCAGTAGTCTTATGGAGCCGATCATAACTTGGTCTTGCAACCTAGAAACTGATTGCTCATGTTCATCTTGTGATTTTTCTGAGCTGAGGCTGAATCTGAACTAAGACATGGGTCTTCCTGAGATTCTGGGGTGAGGTGCTGATGGGATTATTTCCCACAAACAACACTTTCTTCCACTTGTCAATCATGCTGCATTCTGAGTCCTCTCAACTGAAGTTATATTTAGAGAAGTTTGGGCAATTTCCTGCACTGGTGCTTTTGCATCTGGCCTCAAATGGAATGGATAAGGCCAGGAAAGCAGAAAAGCAGCATAGCACGGCTGCACTTGGTGAACTACCTGTTCTCCAGAGCTGCTGGAAGTACTTTTCTTCCACTGAATCTAAGTTTCTTACTTCTGTGAGTTTTGCAAGACTCCGATATCACAAAGAAATACCTTTACAATCATACCTTTGATGTCAAATATTAAACAGGGCCAGGGTTAAGAGACTAGACTTTTGGTTGTTTTACATGTTTTACATTTCTTAGGCCTCAGGCAGTATTGGTCATAATTTCACTGCAGGAAGATCCATTTCAATGTTAAATTTGTCTGGAAGGAACCAGTGCATAGCAGATTCAATCTCTTAGAGAAAGCAAGATGAAAAGTGATAGCATAAGAAGTAATAAAAAACCACCAGTGATTTTAGATTGTGTTTTGGTCAGTGATCCCATTCTGAACTTGGGTCTGATCCTTTCAGCTGATAATTATGCTGTACTGGGATGTTCCTCATCCTGTACAAAATGATTTCTAGAATGCACTTCTATGAAAATGCTCCCATCCCCTTTTGTCTCTTGAGGTTTTGAGTTGTTGGGTTTTTTTGGTTGTTTTTGTTTTGTTTTTTTTTGTTTGTTTGTTTGTTTTGTTTTGTTTTTTGCTAATTGCCATCAGGGAATCCTTTCTGGTTCACATCAGGGAATTAAATTGTCTTTTGTGTGATTGCCTCTAGGGGATGACCTTCAGGAATTCTGTTATGTAAAAAACCTGTGCAATGCTCAGTCTGTTTCCAGAGTCAAACCAAGTCCCAGGAGATATTTGATAGAGGTGCTTAGTCTACAGGCAGGATACCTGTTCTGATGAACCATTAATTTTGCAGCATCAGCTTCTACAGTTGAATGGCCTTCAGCAGGTTCCTATCAAGCTGCGGCACAGTGTGGTATTGTTTAAGAGTAAAGGAAAGGAGAGAGGGTCTTTGCATTAGCACTTGAGTAATACTGCACTAGAACTCTTTAGGCATTTTTGTTCCACAAAACTTAGCAGTTAGAACAGTTAAGATACTCCTGACCACAGAAGAGAGAATCTAAATTCTTGGCATTGAGTAGTGGTAGTGCTCACATGCCCACTGAAGAGTTTAATTTGGCTTGGGTTTTGGCTGTCTTCTTCAGCATATAATGTTTGTGTGCCTTCAGACATTTTAGCTGCTTTCCAGATCCATCTTAAGGAAGAACCTTATCTGGGATTGCACAATCCCTGATATTTCAAGTAGATTCATCTTCATGTCCTAATTTCAGAGGTGCAAGGTGTTGAAAAGCATTTGTAGCGTTCTTGTACAACAAGAGTTACTGAAAGTAGATGCTTCTTAAAATATTTTGATTTCTTTCATGTCTAGAGCAAAAGATCTTTGTTTCTTTAAGAGTGTTGTGTTAGGTATCAAACCTGCTTCTCAAGAGATTACTGACAAGATCCTCAAACAGCTTTGTAGATAACCTGTGTTGACTATATTGGAGTGTGAATGAGGCTCTGCTCTGAACGAATTTTATCAGAATTGGCAGATCCCAAACTTACCTCTGTTTCAGGAAGATGTCATTCTTACCTCTCTCTACCAGTTTCACTCCATTTTATATATCAGATAAATCCCTAATCCTGGGGTTGTGGGCTGGTATCTACTTGGTCCATGTCTTTTTTGCCCAAAAGGTAATCCAAAAAGTAAGGTAGTAATGGATTTTCTCTTTCTGCTCTGCCCAAATTAATTTTGGCTTTAGGACATGCCCAGTGCTCTTTTATGAATATGTTGGACTGCCTGAAACTCTAAATGTGCTTTTCATATCATTTTTCCTTCAAGAACACCAGACCCCTTTATTGCAGAACTTTGGTGGCTCTTGGGGGTAAAATATGTATGCTGCTTGGTTCTGAAGAGAATTTTTTTTTAAGAGGTAAGGAGAGTTCATAAAACAGGTGTACCTCAAAAAAACATTCAACATGAATATGTCTTGTATGGAGACAGCTCTTCAAGCAACATTAGACTGCTTTCTGGATATTTACTCATCACTATGGTTTATTTTTACTCAGATTTTTAATATTTCAGAGAACTGGTGAGAGGTTCTAGTCCAGTTAAGGATCTCATTCCTCAGCTGCATTTTAATTGAGGGCCCTTCCTTTAAGGATCATTTTTCTGCTTATAGCTGCATACTTTCCATCTTCCTATAAAGACCACTTCCTAGTGAACCCTTCTTTTGCATGGAATACATGCAGATCCTCCTTAATTTTATATTTCATTTCTGGTTTGCACTTAGATTTCAAATTTCACCTGAGTCTTTCTGATATGTATTTTCCCCTTCAGCCACATACATCTACAATTGCATGGGTTCTTTACACCTTAAATGTTAACTGCAGTTAATGTTAGTATTTTTTATGGTTTATTTTGAAATAAAAGATTGCAGATACCTGTAGGCCTTTAAAAGTGCCCAATTTTGAGCACATACGAGGTCCATAGTGTATATGTACATATGCATAAAGCTTTTTTTTTTTAATTAGCTTCTTAATAAGTAATTTTCTGCCAACTTCTCTGTTCTCCTAAACCTCTCTTTCCCTCTGCCACCGTAGGCCTTGTTCTGCCACCACAATGCACGCTCACACACACCATAGTTTTTAGTGAGCCACTTCATCATTGATGCACCCTCTAAGCAAGACCTGAAACACATCTGGTTTGGAGTTTTGTCTTTGTTGCTTGACTGGCAAGGTGCAGCCAGGTGGAGCAAGTACTGAATTCTGACTGGCCATGCCTTGCTGGGGACATGATTTTGATCTCACCATGACTCGATCATCATCTTTTTTAGATTCAGATCCTAATTACCTTTGAGACTGCTACCTTTCTTCCGTTTTTGACAGAAAAGGACAGCCAAAAAGTTGTTAAGATGAAGTTTCTGTAGAAAACTAGTCTAAATATCAATTTGGAATCTGATGATAAAGTTGTTGGTTGTTACAAGGCAGATAGACCCAGCTTCTTCCAGTTTATTGTCCTGCTGCACACAGTCTTCAGTGTTTCGTTTGACTTATGCTGGAGTAATTATTTCAGTTTTACAATTACATCTCGGCTGCAAAATGAAAACTCTGTATGATCTTTTAGAATTTTGTAGATTGAGTAAAAGTATTAATAAACCAAAGTAAGCACATACAAATTAATTACAAAGTATATTAGAAGTACTGTATTGGACGTTATATAATAGAAATAATGTTATGGGTAATGGTGTGTTGGCAACTCTTCAACAATATGTTGGTAGAATTTTTTTGTCTACATAGTAAAAAAAAAAACCTAAACTTTTCATTTGAAATTTTACTATACTTCACCCCTGATTCAGTTTGGATAACTGTATTGGTACCTATAAATCTGTGTCACCAAATTAAATCTGTTCTATTTGATGTATATATACTCTGTGTTCACTGATATCATTGCTTTCTCTGACTTTCCCCCTTCCTCTCTCCCTCTTACACTAGGGAAGCAAGGTTTTGGATAAACTGCATGAGCTACGGATACATTTTACACTCTTTAAAGGACTTATAGGTCCAGGGAGGTCAGCATCCAGATGTCAGATTGTTAATAAAGCCACAGAAATCTTTCTTCATTCTGGAAATTTGGATGGAGCAATTAGGGTATTGAGAGGTAAGCCTACCTTAGAATTTTGACTTAAATCTGAACAGTTCACTTCTGTGACAGATTTCAGATAAAAGTTAAAACCTGGTGTGTATTACTAAATACTGTTAATAATACTGAGGCAATAAAGGAAAGGTGATCATCTCACTGCTTAATATTCTTCTTGATATATATAAGAAATATTACAGCTAATTTTTTTCAGATGTCAACACCATTCTACCCAAAAATCTGCCGTAGTGAGGGAGGAATGCAGCTTGGAAAATGATGTTGTCCCATGTAGTTTTCCTTTGAACCAGAGGACATTCAGTATCAAATTTCTGGATTGGGTCGATGCAATGTTCCTTTGTGACTCACAGTATCACCATTTAATATAATTGCTTTAGAACAGTACCATATTTCTTCAATTATTACATATGGCTTTTTGGAACTCCGAGCTGGTGAAAAGAGAAGAAATTCAGATGTAAGAAGAACAGAATGTATGCTGTAAAATGATATTGAGGATGTAAATTTGCTGTTCAGTTTTATAGCTGTGCATAGATATATACATATGTATATATGCCACTGACAGTCCATTTTACTGCAGTGATATTTCACTGAAGGGGTGATTTATAACATAAAGGTTCAGAGAATCAGTCTAAGGAGTAGTGGTCACGAGAAATTAGATGTTCATAAGTCAAGCTACATTTGCTGTGCAATTCTGAAGTTTGTGTCATGATCCAGTTTACAGTACGTTCTTAATGGCCCAAAGTCTCAACATCCAAAAGTTCCAGTTCCTAGAAATAACACTGTACTGTTGTTTGCCACAGAGTCAGAGTGGATTACAGATGCACCATTGTGGCCCTGTGATAAAATGGACATCCTCAATCGACATAATCTGTTATGTGCAATAGTGCACAAATACTTGAGGAAGAGTTTGTACAGGCAAGCATTTGAAGTTCTGCAGAACTTACCAGGTTTGCAGAAACATTCTGGTAAGTAAAGAAAGATACTGTGTAAAGACTAAAAATTCACAGATGATTCTTTGCTGTACTTATAGTGTTTTCTAACTAAAATTTATTGAAGAAGTAAGAAGGATTTATAGAAGCTTGTTTCTGTTTTCCAAAGAGTGTAGTGTCAGTTAAGTATGCGTTGTGCTCTGCAGCTCTTGCTGCACTTGTGCACACACATGTGGATGTGCACACACACCTGTCCTCTTTTGCTCAGTTACTACACAAGGCAACAGGAAACCATTAACTTTTTAAGGATCATACACAGTCTATACAGTGAGATGAAATAGGAATATTTTAATTTTATTTTATCTTAATTTCAGATGAATGAAGTGGTGATTTTTTTCTTTAACTAAGGTAGCTAACCTAAGCATCTCTCATATACCATGTTAAGAACCAAGTGCTCTTTCAGGCTCTGTTTTTCTGACAAATTTTGGATGAGTTCTTCAAAATGCGCTATATAGTTACTTAGGCTCCACTGTGGAAACCTCAGCTGATTCCTGTGTGTAGGTCTCACTGTGTACTGCCACTTTTAGGTATGTTAGGAGAGATTGGTTGGAAGACCATCTACTTCAGAGAATAATGAAAAGATCTAGTTCTTTGAGTTATGAGGTGAATACAAGGCTGCTCAGTCCTACCAAAAAGGAGACAGTTCAGAATAAGAGTAGAAGCAGAAAACCAAGGGGATTTTTATTGGTGGAAATCTTAAATCGTAAGAGATCAGGTGAAGATTGTATTTATAGGCTTGAGCAAGTGAACGTATTTTTATCTGATTCTATTGGTTTTGGCAGCAAATTATTACTTGAACCTTAACACTTGTCCTTCACAATAAGAATGAACTACTGTATGAAAAGACTTCTGATGAATAAAGCATTCATGTTTTCCCAGCCTTGTTCCATCTTGCTGATAGGGGCAAGAGTTCTGATTTAGGTACTGATTGAGAAACAATCCTTCAACCAGATTTGCATTTGAATTAATTCAGTCATTAATATTCCTAATTTCATTTCAGATATTATAGATGCTTCTCAATACAGCCACCTTTTTAACAAGCTGGTAAATGCCTGTTATGAGAACAAGAACCTTGGGGTCTCATCTTCTGCAGTAGACTTCATGCTTTCCAGGAAGATTGCTATTGATTTTGTTTTACTTAGAGGATTAATCAAAGCTTTGGGAAGAAGTTCTTTATGGTCCAAAGCTAGGACCTATTACAAAAGTAAGTTGCTTCTTAGACAGTATCCTCTCCTTACATTCTTTAGATAATGTGCTCATAACATTTCAGTATGAGTAAAAAGAAAAACGGTACTTTCTGTGTCATTCTCAGGAATTTATTTGTAACCAAAATATTTATTAGGAAATGTTAAGTTGAAAATAAGAATCGGTGCATACTACCTGGCATCAAATAAATGTAATTGTGATAAAATTATTTTTTTACATTCAGTTTCAGAATTTCAAGTATGTGAGCCCTGAAATGTTTGAAAAATGCATCATCTTCACATTTTCATCTAGGCAAATTAGATTTCCTCATACTTCTCTCTAGAAGTGTACCAGCATCTCTATGGTGGCATAATATTTAAGATCTGAGAAGTCTAGCTAATTAGTTTTTTCTAACTATAAGAAAATTCCTTTCAACTGAAAGCTAATAGTCTGTAATTGTTTTAAACTCCTCACTTCTGAGCTAAGATAATACTGGGTGTGCACTCTGCATAGGGTCTCTCCATATTGCCACATTATTTACTATTTGATTCTGTCTTAGGATTGTTGAGGTTAGCAGACTGCTTTAAGAGTCCATCCTTCCTGAGATGGATACTTGGTTTTGTTAACATTGAAATTACTGGTTTTCCTCATATCTTTTCTTTTTCCCCTGAAATGCTGTATATGTTGGATTGCTGGGGTCACTTGACAGAAGAGAGGGTAGCAAAGCAGGAGACGCTGTTCAAATGTTCTCTCATTTTGACCATGATTAACAGCTTCTGTCTGATCTGCCTAAATTGTACTTGTGTTATCACACACTTGGTATCCCCAGACTTCTGACAGAACTTTTTAATGATAGCTGATAAAAGTCTTTGGAAAAAAAAAAATCCAAACATGTTACAACTGTGTGTGTGTGTGTGTGTGTGTGTGTGTGTGTAAATGCTGTGTGTGTAAATGCTGTGTGATGTGTTCTCAAATCAGGCTATTTCATAGGTGAAATAGTAAAATCCATTTTAAGGGTTTGGAGTTGGGGTTTTTCCACATTTAGTCACAGAGAAGCAAACAGATCTATGTTTAGTATTGGTAATCCTAATTCCTTATGTTTCTGCATTTACTCACAGATGCTTTATCACTGGGTTGTTACCCAGAGCTGCAGGGAAATTTGTATCACAAACTTCTGAAGATTCCCTCTTACCTGTCTGAAGTTGAGATGCTGTTGACCATTGAAATATTTCTTGTTTCAAACGCCAGTGATATTCAAAGTCCAAGGACTGGTCAGGCTCTTCAAATAATACTGAAAAGGTTTGTTGTCCGATATGTACCCTTTTGATTGTATTTATTCATGTGATCATGTAAGTAATAGATCTTGTTTTCCTTATCCTTCCCTAAGAATACATCTCTTCATTTTGTTCCTGGGATAACTGAGAAGTTTTTTATCTCTTGTTTCCATGTGTATGCTACTGCACATCTGCTTGTTTTCTTAAAGAGTAAGTTCTGCTCTTGCAAAAAACGTAGGCATGTCACTTAGGCACAGCCTTGTTCCAAAAGTGATTACATTCCAAAACTGAGTAAACCTTATGGATTCAAGCATGTACATGAATTCTTGCTATATCCAGTTCATTAAATGGTTTGTATTCTACTGAATTTTTCAGCCCAGAGACATTTTTTCTTTAAATGTGCTGTGAATATTGCAGAGCTACTTTGTACTAGCATTAAAGCCTGTAACTTTTCATTACCATTAAATATGTTAAAAATACACTTTCTGTAACTTTTAAATTCTTCAGGACAATAATATAATCTGTCTAGAAATTAGCGTAATATTTATCAGTGAAAAATACAAGGCATTATTTTAATGTTTCTTTATTTTTCCTGCCAGTATAAAGTGTTAAGCAAGTGACACTGAGCCTGTATGGTACCTAATTTTTATTTGTTATAATTCCCTTATAGATCTGAAGATGCAGTTCACAATAACAGTGCCTATCACGGGGCAGTGGAGAGGCTGATCCAGGCGGCTCATTTATCTGATCCAAAGCTTTTTCTTAAGCATATGACAATGAATGTTAATATGGAAGAAGTTTACAGCCTAGAGCATTCATCTGCTCTAAAGTGGCTTCAGGAGAATATGGAATGGGCTGAGAAGGTCTGGCTGTTTCAGTAGTTACTAAATAGTTTCCACTGTTCCCTAAGTGTTCAGACTATGTCTTATTGATCTACAGCAAGGTTTCAAATTCAAGTTGTGGTTTTAAATACTACATTGATGATAATGCAGATAGTAGCACAGAAAGAGTCATTTTCCCTAACTATATAAACTTCACACTGACTTATATAGATGTTTTGCAATGGCATTACCAGATAATGAGGGAGCTGCAGCCTCAGAAGCTACATTCTCCATTCTTAAAAAGAATTAGTACTTAGCTTGTTTCTCCCAGCAGGTAGTCATATAAGCATAGATAGAAGTGTAGATAAATGCATTGGTTGAGTGCATCTACTGTTCTTGAGTGAGATGTTTTCCACATTCAGTTATAGTCTGTAGAAGTAATGCCTGTTTTCTTTTGTCTGCCTTACAGTAACTTAAGAGGTCACTGTCCCAACTCTTGCACCTTAGGTCTTAATTTCTTTGCTCCAAAAGCCCAATAAAAAGCACTGAGAATAAAAGAACTTCAAAATCGCTTGAGACATTCCTGATTGAGGATATCTTTCATCACAGAACTGAGAGCCTAGACACTGCTCACAGCTGAAGGTTTAGTTGATCATTTAATTAGATATTTATTTGATATAGATAATAGCTTGTGTATGGTTTCACATTTGCATATATGGATACTTCCACTGAAAAGGAAAACTTGCTTTCTCCCTTGATTGCGCTCTTAGAGAGAGGTGGTTTTGCCCATCTTTTAGGTTCTGCCAACTGTACAATGAGATGGAGACTTCTAGCAAGCTTGTTCCACCATTCCTGATTCTTCAGGATTTCTGCTTTTTTTCCACATGAAAATCCTGAATCACATTCAAAGCATGAGTTGCTTAAGTCACACTCTACAGCCTGAATAAGAAGAACCAAACGTTTAATACCAGAAAACCTCTCACAGCAAAACAGTACAGCCTCTGTCAAAGTTGATAGTTACTGAGCTCACCACTTTTGTAGTGTTGTTAATTTGGATCTCCAGCACCAACCTTCACAAACTTGCCAATAATACAGCTCGTTTGGTCCTGCTCTCCATCCATTTTAAAGCCTTTTGTTCTGAACACTTAAGTTCTTTTACATACAGAAGTTCATGGGTTTTTCATCTGTTCCATTATTAAGATGGTGGCGCAGGACCTCAGTGTTCGAAAAACGTCTCTCCTTTGGTGTAGCATAAGTCTCTTCCCAGTTCCTGCAGCATTACTGCAGGTGTCCTTTGCAGCTCTAAATCATGAAAGCCATCATGACCTTAGTACTGGATGGTTGTGTGGAGGGTTTTGGTATCCGGGGTTTTTTCTCTTTGCGGGAGGTTGCCATTCCAGTCTTGGGGTTTATGCCATTAATCTGATGTCATGAATCTGATCGTCAGTTGTTGGATTCCTGATGTCCTCAGGGCCAAATCCTGACCTTTTTCAATACCACTTCTCATCCAGTCTGTTAGGGAGTTGCTACTGGAAGAGAGGATTGGATCTGATGACCACCAAGATCACTACTTTCCTCGTGTGCCACCTGTACAGAAAAATGCTAGGATAGAGGCTCTTGTCTTCACAGGGTATCATTCTTCTGTGGGGATCATCTGCCTGCCTTGTAAAAAATGGTAGATCCAGTACCAATGGTACCAGATGGCATTTCTGTAGGAGCTGTTCACCTCAGTCTTAGAATACAGTTGGCACTGGTCCAAACAGACTTTGAGTTCTGCCCCCTCACATTCATGAAGATGGTTCTGCCATTCGTAAGGGTATCCCCCTGATCAAATCCAACTGGATTCTGCTGATTTTGCTTCTCAGTAGCTGAAAGACTGGGTTAGAAGCAATCAGGTTTTAGGTGAGGGCTCTAAACTGATGCTCTTGCAGGCACTCCAGCATTAGTGAAAAGAGCAATTTTGGAAGGTTCCAACAAACTAAAACTGGTAGTAAGAAACAAAGTCATTTTTGCTAATTACTTCTTGTAAGATCCTTTGTGGCTTAATCTCCCTTGGAATTAGACAGAGGCTATCTGATCTTCAGCTAAATCCCACATTTCTATGAGTGGTACCCGATGTGGCTAATAGTGTGTTTGACAGATACAGAAGGACACAATTCTCTTTATAATTTGTATGGCTTCAAAACTTGGGATGTTCTAGAGACAGCAGATTTTTTTCCTCTGTAAGCAACCTTGAATTTTCACTTAGATCATCCCCAGAGCAAAACTCCAAATGTTGCATTATTTTTCAGACAGAGGTTAATCATTGACCTTCGAGCTTGACTTGGAACTGTGTAAAATTTTTGCAATGTTTTGGCTCCATCTCTTCAGTATCATCTTCAGCTGATAGGATGTAATCTCAGTCACGTTTTATATTAACAAGCAAAGCAAGCTCCTCACATCATTGCTCAGAAGTTTTGTTACAACTGAGGCTTCTGGTGTTTGTGCCAATTTAGTATTTCTCCCTGTTTCACCATGATAAACCAGTAGGCAATTGAAACAACTTTGCTGTTAAGTCCCTTATTTCACATTTTTTTCTGTCTGGGTCCTCATCATTTTGATGTGTATCAGAAGGCCAGAAAGGTTTCTTGTGTAACGTTCTCTGTATTTCAGTTGGAAAAATTCCATGTGCCAAACAGGACAAAACTGTTGTTTGTCCACTGTGGAATGGAAATGAGCCTGGAAAGATGGAAAAAAATATCCTGAAGAATAAAGTTAAGCACAACAGAGGCAACACAGTTTTGCAGAGCCAGCCACACAGTAGAAAATAGCCATATTTTTGCTTTCTCTCAGTATAAGTTAAACTAGAAGAATTTCTATCTTTGACATAAAACAACTTATTTGGTATAATTTTTCATATAGGAAATAAAGTGTATGTTTACTTGTTTGCAGAAAGAGACAGGAAAATGTGCAAATAACAACTTCCCTGTGCTGTGCTCAGTAGCTTGGAGTAGACAACGCTGTGCTCCTTCAGTATGTTGTTAGATGCATGAGAAATTCCCTCTGTGAAAATCTTTCTGCAGTTTTCACTGTTTACACACTATGCTCTTGGAAAGATTATTTTTGTTGGGTATGGACAGTTTCTTGTAAGTAAAACAGAATAATGTGGTTTGGAAGACTTACCACAATTTTATTTCAAAAATACTGATAATTTTGAGAATTTTAAAATGTGGGACAGAGGTGAGAAGCTGGAAAAAGGACCTTGATAGTTTTGTGGTGTTTTATAAAGAGCAATGGGGGAAGAAGGGGGATGCATTTTGGAGGAGTTGTTAAGTTGTTAATAAACGTTTTTTAATATTTATATAAAGCATTCAAAATATCTGAGTCTGTAATTGTCGTTAAATTATTTCATTCTATTCAGATTCCTGTAATGAACACTCTTAGATATGCAGCAGGATAGGCAAGCAGGGAAGTAGACGTGGAGAGTTTAATATCTTGTAACCACTACAAGAGTCTAGAGAATGATAGGCAGCATGAGGAGGTTAAGAAAGTGTGAAATCAGTCAGACTATGCAGTTCTTCACCACACCAGAGCACACAATGTAGCAAATGTTCATGAATAAATTGGCTGAAACTCCCAGCTGTGGAGATGGCCAGCTTCCAGCTTTAACTGGAAGTGGAGGCTACTGCCAGGGTTACAGGCTGTGCTCAGTTCACTGAAGAACTCAAAAAGATGTTAGTGAGAGTTTCACTTGAGGAGAAATAGTAAAATTAAATGTCTCTGCTATAGTAGTAAAAGTTTAATTACTAAAATCTCAATGTCGTATTCCTAAGCTTAGTAAAATTTAGCCACAGTAAAAGCAATGATTCACATTCCTTGTCCTTTCACATTGTCCAGATGTGTCTTGCATCTGTGGTTTTATTGGAGAGGGTTTTTTTGCAAATCCAGCTCGACATTTTTCAGTCTTAATTTCTGCATAACTTTTTTTTTGTTTAAATTACTAGAATGATGTGTAGTGTCAGAATGATACTGACAGGACTGTCTCAGAGTTCTGGACCATTGCATGTGATGGATTGGAGAAACTGATGCCATTTTTTTTGACCTTCCATAGGCCAAGGACCGAAACAGAAATAAATGAGTAAGGAGAAAACAGTTCCAATTGCCACTTGTAGCAACTTAGAATTAAGAAGCAAAAATGTTTAAAATTCTCTGTTAGGGCTCAAGACATCAAAATACGAACTTTTTCAGATGATAATTTTATCTGGTATAAAACAAACTTTCCATTTGGAAATCGGTGCAGCTGTTGCTGAGCTAGTGGGATGTGTCCTGGGTATGGATAGGGAATATCATGACCAGATAAAGCCACAGTAGTACCCCCATCAGCACAATAAATGTTGAGACTTAGCTAAAAAACAGGAATTAATTCCTGCACTGGGGCAGGATAGGGGTGCCCTATTTGAAAATGTATACCCTAGGAAGTGGAGCTGGTATCTGGCACTGGCATTTGCTGATGACCTCTCCCAATTTATTTTATTCCTCAACAAGTTGAAATAAATTCCAGGTGAAACAAACAGCATGCTTTTCTGTTGAATCAATTAAATTTATTTTTCCATTTGTATAATTGTCCAGACAATTTGCTTACATAACTGATTGGCTTCTGTTGGGATGTGAAAAACACGCTGCACATTATGGAAATGGTGAAAATCCCCCAAGGGCTATGAGACTGTTAACTTGATTTAAAGCTTCACTGAACTACAGATAGTTCCTAAACCTTGACAGTTCTCTTTTTAACCTTTTCTGGCTGGAAATGCAATAAATTGCATGCAAATAACTCCAGTCTCTAATCTCCCTTTGTTCTCGAACACCGGCAGCAATAGACGTTTTTGCTCCGAGGTTCCATGTCCCTGTATCAGCTGCACTTTGACACCAACTGTCTTGGAAGAACAATAGATGTGAAAATGTATGTTGTACATCGAGCATTACTAACGTAAGACATCGTCTTAAGCTGTGCCAGGGGAGGTTTAGGTTGGACAATAGGAGTTTCTTCACAGAAAGGTGATTAGATACTAGAATGGGCTGCC